CATATGTGATTTAAACTGGGACAACGAATTACACCGTTTCGACGAACGCTCCGTGACGTTGTCATTCGCGAACGCGAAATTGCGAAACACATTTCGCGTCCCACTTAGGAATAATTACGACAACGGCGCGTCCGGGTTTTCCGGGGTAAAAGTGCGCTTAACGCGATCAGCGTGTAATGTAGTAGTTGAACTCGATTACGCACTTTGCGCGCACGCTAGATGTAGAAGATGAAACACCGCGAACAAGCTGGACATGACCGAAAGTTATTCTCAGAGAGAGGGAAAGAGAGAGAGAGAGAGAGAGAGGGAGAGAGGGAGAGACAGAGAGAGAGGGTGAAATTTAATTTTACTACAAATCCTCGACACATATCGAATTGTCAGTTTTGATCTGGCGACTTGAAGACCGACTCATCCATCATGGCGCGCATACACATACACACACACACACACACACACACACACGAACACTTCTTTCTGCAGTCAAGAATCTGCCGTCGTCGTGAAAATGAGAAGCGCGAGACACGAGACATATCTCGTCCCATCCCGAGAGCGTGACGGACACAACGAAGTATGGACTTAGTGGGTTAGAGGAAACACGTAATAACGCAGCTTTACGGCGCGAACTGCGCGGGCGTTTACTAACAAGATTTACTAACCCGGTGCTGAACGCCGGCGGCGCCACGCCGCGGTGCGGATATAGTCGTGATAATGCGGGTGACACGGCCGGGCATTACATTCGAAGTGGCTGTTGGGGCACAAAGGTATCATTATTATCATTATCATTATTCGGAGCACAGTTAAGCCGGCACTTGGAGCAAGAGCGAAGAACAATGGTGTCGCGTCCAAATTCGGGGGGGGGGGGGCGACGTCCTCTCGTATCGGCTTGACTAACTATTGTGTCTAAATTCTAAGGTGCACGCGCTTGCCGAAGCGTATCTGTCAGCCTCCCCTCATCCCTCCATCCTTTGCATCCTCCAATTCCCCCCTCTCTCTCTCTCTCCCTTGCACATATCGCCGAGGGGTGCTTCCAAGGCGAACGCTGATGCACCGCAGCTAGTTACAATCGTAAGACTGTACGTGTAACGTGGAGTTGCGTCGTTTGTACGTGAATACACACACACACACACACACACAGTTGGTACTGCATTGCGTTATATTTTACGTGCGATCCATAGCGAATGCTATCGAATCGCAGCTTGGACCGATCGACATCGCTCGACACCATTCCGAGCGTAACTTCGTTCCGAGGGTTCCGCCGTTAATATGATAATGTAAATATCGGTGTGCCGATAGATCCGACGTTCCCGTTGCCGATAAAAGCGACGGATATCTCGTCGCCCCGAATTTCATGGAACATTTATGTAACGTTACGGAAGGTTTGCCACTTTTACTCGGCCATACCGGCCATGCGTTTCGTTTCCTCGCGCATGGACGCTTTCATTATTGAACATGCTGAACGGAAACGTCGCGCGACAAGGGGAAAAGTTGTGTCGTATAAAATATCAAAACGAACGCGTTTATTCGTCGCACGAAATCGACACGGGGATGATGCGAGGGTGAGCGCTCGCGCGTTCGGAAAGAGTACTAGGGTCCTCGACAAGTAGCCGCGGAACCTGATGATTTTCTCGAGCGAGTTTCGGGAATTGCGGTTCGAGCAATGCGTGTTCGAGTAACGCAGGGAAAATGGCCGGGCGATTTAACTCTAATTTCATTATTAATAATCTCGTAGCCTCTAAAATACTTCTGAATTTGGAATCGAATGAGATACGGAGCCGCTGTGCCCTTTTCTCTAATATACCGGGTGTTACTATAATAGTGCCCTAACTTTTGTTAATTTAATAATTTTGAAATTTCCAAAAGTCGATAAGTTAACAAAAGTTAGGACACTATTGTAACAATATATTTTTGAGATCAAATAGAGTAAAAAAGTGCAATACTATTTTTTCTTTTCCGACAAACAGCGAGATATCATAAGTTAAATATTGAAAAGGGTACCAAGTTTTCCATAAATATCTCAAAAATTATTAGGCAAATGAAAAAATGTTTCAGACAAAAGTTGTTCAAATTAATTGGTAAAAAAAGACGGTATAATAAAAAATTGGAGTTTCCATTTAAGATTTTTATGTTGATCTTGACTGGGCTTTTCAAGGTCATCCCAAGGTCAAATTTATAGCATCAATAAATAGATTCTTTGAAGCCCTACAACTTTTGTCTGAAATATTTTTCTCTAAAATGTCGCGTTTACGAAAAAATCGGGTGATCCGAGTGGTCTGAAACACACATGGTACATATACGTGCGTATTATATATATATATATATATATATGTTATGCACACACATTCGAACAAAACTCAGGGTAGGTCGAAATGGCCGCAGCGGTACTGACAGTTGCAGTACCGCGAATTTACACACACACACACACACACACATACGTGCGTATCTATATGTCTATGTACAAACCCTTATCCGCACATCGCGCGTCGTATATATTCTATATATCCACTGTGCTTGTTTGTCCGATTCATATGCACAGATATCGTATGAATACCGGGGGAATTCATCCGCGTATCGCTTTTCTTTCGACACATTAAACATTTCCGCGTGCGTGTAACTCTTTCCGCGTATAAATGGATAATGTGTGTTTTAACGCGCTCGACCTGCTCGTACCGATAAAATCTCCTTCATGCGTTAGCAGAAAAAATCGTCATTTTGCCAGGTATATACCTCGCAAATCTACTCGCTTGCTCTCTGACAGAAATACAGAGGAAAAGAGAGGGAGGGAGGGAGGGAGAGAGAGAGAGAGAGAGAGAGAGAGAGAGAGAGAGAGAGAGAGAGAGAGAACGGGAGCTGAATCGAAAGAACGGGGGTGTAAAGACAGTTTGAGATTTTTCGGGCAGCGCACTTTTCCAAGGGAGCACACGGTACATGTCCTGATCGAGATAGTTGGTTAAGCTTCGGAAGCTCCGAATCGAATCCCGCAACAAAGCAAACATCTAAGCCGAACTCTGAAACGAAACGCACGTTCTAACCGACCGCAGCGGTATCGGGAGACAAACCTATTTCCGAAACTCAGATATACGTAAAGCTCGATTTCACGTGGTCTCGGAGAATGCGACTTTTATTTGTAGGAACAATAGCTGCATTGAAATTCGGGCAAAAGGGGGGGGGGGAGAAAGAGGAACGCTCAAAAGATTGCCCGGAGCCAGCGACGACACAAAGCGCGAAATATAAATCGCAGAATGTGCGATATCGCGTAGTAATCGCGAGAGCATCGAAGAATCGAAGAGGTTAAACTAGTTTACAAAATCCATTGCTTTCAACAAGCAGAAAATTAAATTGATCAATTTTATTAAAAAGAACGTGCAAGGAGACACGATATAACGGCTCTTTAATTAAAATTTAAATCGCGTAATCCCAATGGACAGAGTTCGCGATCCTTCGCGTCGCCGTCCACTTTGCTGAAACAAAACAACCTTCAACCTTCGTCCTACGATTACGTCTGTCATTTGTGACGTCCTCAATTTTTCTCCTCTCAAACGCTGAAACTGATCCTCTCCGCGTAGAAATTTCCGGATACAGAGACTCCATTAGACTCCATCCAGGATACTCAAATTTGTCTCAAAATTGGTTGTCTGATTACAACACCAACTAGAGATCGGGGAAAAATAAAGGACCCAGATTCTAACGTAAAAGGACAAACCAAGAACCAAAACAAACATATCGGAGGAGCCTCGAGCTTTCCGCTCAGAATCGCGTATTTGTGCTTCCAATTAGAAGTTATTTCAATTTCCTGAACTGAACTGAAATTCCTGTAAATTTCGGAAAAATTGAACTACAGCTCCCGACTGGATCCCAAGAACCTTTTCACACGGATCTTCCTTTGCGTGTACTTCCTTTCGTTTCTGAGTCAAAGAGGAAGCATGGTCGAAGATAATCGTTAGCGACAGTGCGACATCCCTCTGATAAAATCAGAGCCGATCCTGCTATTCACACCGAGGCGCGCTTCATTCTATCCGACTATCGACCCCGCACTAGTCGATATTCCATCTCACGGTGGCGGAGGACTTGTCGTGTACCTGGGAGCTACATTGCATCATTGTTCGAGCAGGCATCCGATCGGAATGCTCCAGTTTTTCGTTCCGTGACCGATCATGCGCGCGGAAAGCCAGCCGCCGGCTTCTGGCACCTCCGAAGGAAGCGAGCGAAAGGTCATATCGTATCTGATCAGGACGTCTGCATGTGCCTCCGTCGTGATTGAGCAAAAGGTGCTACCGGCTGTTTTCGTTCCTCTGAGGTCGCTTTCGAATCCATGGACCCGCGATAACTCGCCAGTCGAGCGTGGTTCCCGTGGTCGGAAGCCGTAAAAGTTACACGATAGGTCGTTCGACCGAGAAAAAGAGAGAGAAAGAGTGAGAGAGAGAGAGAGAGAGGGGGAGGGAGGGTGAGACACCGACTGCCCTCGTAGAACTCTCCGTGTAGATATTTTTACGTCGATGGTTTGGGGGAGGGGCAGGGCGAGAAAAGCAGAAAAACGAAAGTGTAACACGCGGAGTCTACCTGAGACAATAGTCACTCTCAATCGATCGCGACGAAGAAGGCGGCGGCGCGTGCGGCGAAACGTGGCGCACGCCTACTACTACACACTCTAAATACACTCGCGCATCGGCTCGAAAATCCAACGAGTCGTTAAACTCTCTCACGCGAGCGTGTTAAATTCCTCGAGCCATTCGAAGACAATTTCCGGCGGGACGAGAGAGAAGCGCACGCCCGCGCCGCAGCGCCGTGTTTCTGTCTCTCGGTATCCCCGGACGTGCGTCGGGTAGCCGGCGCGGCGAGCCGCGGGTGTAAATTCCGCCGGGTCGTAAGCCAGCGACGCGGCGAGAATAAGCGAGGTATAAACTGTTTGCTCCGCGGCTCGTTTGTCGAATCGCGCGAAACGTCGAGCAATTGCTCCGCTCTGCGCGTCCGACTTGACGACCGGTAAATGCAATTGCAGGTGGATCGGGGGGAGAAGGAGGAGGGTCAGGGAGAGGGTGGTCTGGCGCCGTCCTCAGCGGGCTGCAGCGGTGCTTCCGGTTCGAGGATGGGCCCCGGGCCCGACTCTGGCAGCAGCGCTCCTTCTTCGGTACCCCAGTCGTTGGCTACCTCAAGGGACGACGAGGACGACGAGGACGAGGAAAGCAGCGGTAGACGGTCCAATGGCCACGGAGGTTCGAGGTTAGTGATTCCCGACGAGTCTGCTCGTCGTGGCGATCTCGATCGCCCGACTTATCTGTGTACCCGACTTGTTTTAACGTCAGCATTCCATTGCAGCACGCGCCACGATAGATCGACGAAACAATTTTTAACCGCTCATATATATGTTTCTTTTCTTATGTATGTATATGTGTGTGTTTTCGCCATAGACTTGTACAAGCGGTGTCTGAATTCCAATGTCCGAGCGCGTGTGTGTCGCGGTAGAATTCGTTGAATTGAATGGAGAAGTACGTTAGCTTACTTAGTGAAGCACATCGTGCTAAAATTTATTAAAATAAATTATTTAAAAATAAAAATTAAATGGTGCTAATTATTCAGATGTTAAGGAGAGAAGATCAGCGCCCCTTCCGGCGAAGTCTCATCCGAGATTGTCGGCAGATTTAGACACTTTGGCGATGAGACTTCGCTCAAAGACCTCAGCTCGTACGCATTGATAGATCAATTTTCTCTCCTTAGTATGTCTACTAATTATCGTGGTAGTTTACAAAATGGTAGAGGACTTTTCCATACGATTTAACGAGTTGTACTCGCACACAAGCGCCCAGACACCGAGAAACGAACACCTGTGTGTACACAGACTGAACACCCCACGAGAGACAACGAAGACTTGACTAGGAAGGCGTGTCCTGTCGTTGCGCAGGCATTCGATCTTCGTCCAGCTCGACTCTTATCGGAGAAAGCTGGGCGAAGGCAGCACGCTTGTGAACAGTCGAAAAGGAACCCAGCTGCTATCCTTCAATCTCGTCTTCAAACTTCTTCTCACAGAGAGTGGCAGTCTGCGTATGCAAGCCTATGCAGGTTTCTGGTCTCTCTTGTTATTTGTTTACAATCTCCGCGTATGAGATTTTTGCACTGGATGACGCCGCGCCTTGAAATCGAAATGTGTGAATTTTACGCATTATCCAGATTAAATTCCATCATCATTAGGGTCAATCCGCGCGGATTAAATACGCCACGCGGAAACGCGATGCGACTCGCCAACTCGCCGAGTAGTCCAGCGAGAATTAATTGTTTCAACGAGCACTTCGTAAATTCGACGGACGAGGATGATGAGATGCGATGCACGGGGGAGGGGGCGACCGCGAGACGATCGAATAACGTTATTACGCCGCCGACTTACCGCGGGTTAGCGGGGAGTGTCCGACGGATAACAATTTGGCTTAACAAACTCATTATCGCGTGCGCGCTTCGTTACGTGCGATTAAGCTCGAAATTAAATTCTACGTGCCTCGCAATCTTCGGCCGTCGGCGTGGGATCAGAGTTTACAGTGTAAACGGAATTACATCTGCGCGTTTTGTCCGATAACATTTGCCCCGTCTTCCGCGCGCCGCGCATTCGAATTGCATTAATTGCGTCATTGAGAAGCGCGGCGAGGGAGGGAGGGGGGGTGCAGAAGGCGCGCGTACGTGAGAAGCGAGGAATCTCAATTGTTGACCGCAGCGCGGCGTACAGCTGAAACGTAATGAACCCTTCGCGGACGAATTTTTCCTTAACTCCAATTCCCAGCAAGTCGAGCATATTCTCTATACAAAACAAAATTATACATAAAGACTTAAATATTGGAATAGAAAGATAAAGAAAAATATATATTACTTTTTGAGAATAACTTCGCGAATAACTTCGCGATGCCTTAAAGCATCGCACGGCTTTCTGAGGAGTACATGTAACGATGACTATAGTCATCTAACGGACTTAGAAGGTTAAGAGAGCGAACGGAAGACTATCTCACGCGTTTGCCCGGCATAGTTATTTCGCGATTTTTATTCTCGCTCTCTTTGTGCGATCAATTAAGCGCGCAACGTCTCGACCCGAATCGCGTCCGATTAGTCGCAGCGACTCGCACATGAGAGATTTCGAGATCGACTCGGAAAAAACGATTACACATAATTATACATGAATTTTGTCTCTATGTGATCCAATTAATTACACGTAATTGTACGTATAGATATGTCCACTTGGAAAAAAACTCTGTTATACAAAAGAGATGCACGATGTGCGAGGAGAAAGGAAAGGACCGAAATATGCACAAATATATACAAACGTAAAAATAAAAATAAATTAAACCGACCGTTTGTGTTTGTGGCAGCTTTCGTCGACGTTTAATCGCACGAAATTGTTTTTCCTTTTTTTCCACATTCAGTAGCAGCATTCTTTTCCGCGTAATTACATGCAATCAAACACACGGACGTACAGAATTTCAACAGAATTCGTATATAGTCTATATAAATAAAAAGTTGCGTATAATTTATGTACAACTTACATATTAATTTTACGTATAAAATTTACGCGTACGTCACGTGTAAATGTGTTTCTTTCTCGGGGCTTCCTTAACGCGCGCGCGCGAATCGATTTTGGAGAGAGCGAGACGAGTCGTCTCGCCTCATCGTACAGCCAAACTCGGGCGAAGGAACAGCGAAGAGAAACGGTACGGAGTCACACGTCTGTGCGCGACGTGAAAATCTAACTTCTCCAGGAGTCGTCCCGGCCGCGATTCGCAGCCTCGTCCATTTTCATCCCGATCCTCGCGTACGAGGAGACGAGCGACAGTTCCGCTCGTTCGCGCCTCAGCCGTCGTAAGTCTCTCGCGGGGCCGATCTGTCTTGTCACTTATCACGGCTCGTATCGCGCATCGGACTCGCACAATAATTCGCACGAAGCCGGGGGCATACGGAATTCTTCTTCCGTCGCTCGCTGAGAGTGTCCCATCGTAGGCGGGATGGATCGCCCGGAGCGTCCTTTGGATTCCATCACGGTCGGCGACGATCGGGATAAATCGCGCGCGACGTCAACCCCCGCGATCGTATCCTCACGGCGAGCGCATGTGGACCGATGGATCGGGCTATGATAAAGATACTTGGCAGCTTTACTCTCTTCTAAAACCCTCCTCTGCAGTTGTGACGTGACACATCGCTCGTCATTTCCGCTTCTGTCGTGATTGATCAGCGGCCGAACTCGTGAACAGCGGCTCGCGACCGTTTAACACCGCTTTCGACTTTGTCGTAAGAAACGTATTCAAACCGCCGCGCCGTGCGAACGAGTGTACGTTAAGCGTCTAGCCATTAATTTAGCCGCTGTTCAACCTCACACGTGCAAGCGTCGGCTCGAAAATCGCGCGCGCGCGCGCGCCCGACCTTTAATTACAAAGTGTCCCATTCCTTGAAAATTTCATTCGCCACTCGGCGAATTCGCCGCGCGACAGGCGCACCCTAAGTGCCATTAATGATTTCGTTTTCAACGCGCGGATTAACGTTTAACGCGATAAACAGCGCGGCGAGCCGTGCGGCCAGATATATAATTTTAAAGATGCGCTTCTCGCGGATGTGTATTTTTAAAGATCCCGCCGAAGTCGGATGTCCGGTGGGGTCAGCTGCCATATAACGTGACATTTAATTCAGAATCATCCACGTGATGAATTAATAATTTTGGCAGGTATCGATGTGTCGCGCAGACGAGGTTTCTAGCAAAAACCGTCTGCGCTCGTAGGAGGATGTTAAGAATAATAATTGCGACAACGACAACTTTATTGGTACGACAAAAAGAGGCAATGGAGCACACAAGACGTAAAGAAAGAGAAAAACCAGTGGTCGCGAGAGAGAGAGAGAGAGAGAGAGAGTCAGGAAGGACCCTACGTCATTGAATACAAAGGACATGGAGAGCTGTTGTACATATTTGTCGCTCACAACAGCGCGAGAGCCACAGCTGCCAGAGCTGTGTGCGAGTGTTTTGCAGAGAACCGACTCATCGGAAAGCTATTAAATTCACTTAGTTTAGCAGCCGATTCGGCCGTTTATCAAATCGCATTATAATAATACCTGCGTTTTCGTGCTCGCTACACAATGGGATATCGTGTGGCGTAAAACGCGGCCGATATATCGCGCGCCAATTGCCTCAAACTCTTCGGACAATTAACGATGCACGGCGATATGAACGAAATGAAATGAAAGCGTGATCCACCCCTCCCTCCTCTCTCTCTCTCTCTCTCTCTCTCTCTCTCTCTCTCGATTAATCATGTCCAATAAAGTACTGTAATTATCAATTTTCTCCGTGCCGACGCGATAAATTATGCTCATAATGTAACGCATCGCCAGAGTTCATGATTCGCGCGAAATGCATTGCGAGCTCCATGCGTGACGAGTATATTATTACAACGACGAGTCTCACTCCGAGCTAATGACACGCGAATTTTCGACGCGATGGCAGCGACAGCGGTTTCGTGTTACTCGATTTTCGTCATTTCGGCGCACGTCAGCGCGCGTCGAAAATGCGTGGCCGATGCGACGCGTTGTATTCGCGAGGATCATGCACAATGGGACTTTAATCAGGGCCGATGATGAATTTCGTGAATGAGGACCTCCCACCTCGGCTGTCTCGCATGACGTTTCAACACTCCGCTGCCCTCCTCGAGACCGCGCACGACAAACAAATGCCTGCTATTTCCTGATGTGCAGAGTATTTATCGCGCACTTCGCATTAGCCGAGTGTTTATCACGTATAATATAATTGTTTTTTTCCGACGACTCCTTTGCGAACTTGCGGGGGCGACACCGCAATCGAACCGTTCACGTGCCGTGAAAGATACAATCTTGAAGAGAGAGAGAGAGAGAGAGAGAGAGAGAGAGAGAGAGAGAGAGAGAGAGAGGGAGAGAGAGCAGAAGGTGGGAAGGAGGGAAAAAGAGAAAAAGAGACGAGATAACGGTGAAATTAATAAATCACCGATGCAGCACCGACCGAAAACGAGCGCCCACGTGTCTCGAAAGTTTCTCCTTCCCAACGTCGCTGGGAATTATATTCTTGACTCCACTTTCCCACGCAATCCTTGAAACTTAATTTAACTCTAGAGCGTCGGTGTTAATTTCCAACTGAAAACGAAGCACGGTCGTGCGTATGACACACGGATATTTTTTCCAATCGACAACAATTTGATCAAATTGCAATTTCTTCCGCTGACGGGAAGTCAAGC